GCGGGTAGTAGCAATGTCCCAGGCTAGAAAGTTCAGCACGTATGTCCTATTGTATTCTCTTCCCAAACATGGCCCTGCTCACTTTAACAGAAGCTCAAAATGCTTCCTAAAATGTTACCAAGAATTCCCTAGTACCCCCCAAACTCTGTCGAATGCCCCTGGTTTACATCCTGCGTGATTTTCAAATGGTGGATGCATGTTTTTGTTGTTGCAACGATTATATAAGTACTATAATTCTTACTTTCACTACTATGATTATTGTTTATGACAAGGTGTTGCAGTTTGCAAGGGGTCACGCTTCAATTCCTGACAAGGCATGGGCCCACCTTGGTATGTGGCCCTTAAAAAACAATTTCTGCATACGGCCTGTATCCCGTCACAAACATGATGTGCCTCATGCATGCAACGTAATGGGGCCGGCCCCGCCGTGAGTAGACTCGTCGCCCTGTCTTCACTCTACTCAATACCCACTATGGGCTATTAGACCCTAACATTCCCTATTGGGACCCTTTAAGGGTAGATTAAGGTACCCTTAAGGTCTAATAGCCCATAGTGGACAGCAGATTCAAATAGTAGTTTCCCGAAATAGGGGGACCCCGATATGGACCCCAAAGTACTATGAATCCTTCTCGATCTCCAAACAGGTGTCCCTAATCCTGGGAAACCCCCAAATGTGCCAAGGGTTTTGCCGCTGGGCTTCTTGTCGTATTCTAGAAAAAGAAGACCCTTGCTTGACAAGCATTTGCAGGTCGCTGCTCAAATATGAAAAGGGATCCTGGCCCCAAGAAGCAGCCTGCATGATATATGGGCTTAGGATTCAGGGTTGAGGCACACCCGGGGTTCATAAGGAGATGGAAAGGGTATGGGGGTTCCCATCTGGAACTTCCCATGATATTTCCCAACTTCCGGGTTCCTTCCTGTAGCCGCCCCTTCAATCCTAAAGAGTTTTTTAGGTATACAAGCTGCGCTGAACCAGGGCAGGAAAATTGTTCTAGAAGATTCCTACCATTAGCAGTGCTCAAAAACTCGAAACAGGATCAAAGTGGCCTTACAATTCTGGAGCTGCTCCAGTAAGGGTCCCCTTTGTTGAGACCATCTCACATGAGCTGAGGCTTGGCATGCATGCGCATCGATGGCTCTACACATCCAACCAGACGCGGAGAAGCTGCCAGATCAATTTGGGGTATGATTCACGTGGACCCCCACCAAGCCAAAGTAACTCTAAGGGGATAAGGGTCATATTATCTTACACCACTATTACAGGGTGGGGGGGGGGGGTCATAAGGTATTATTTTATTCGGAGACACTACAGTACGAATGAGAATGACAACAGTAATCTGGTAATGACAATACTACTATAGTCCCCAAGGTAGAGTAAGACTGACCACCACCTGTAAAGGGTCCTGCTGGTGCAGGGGGGAACGAAGGCATGGAACATAGGGATGAATCTTGCAGATAGGCTTGGGGCTTATTAAGGCATACTACACACCACGGGTATTCGTTCTTCTATACACAAGCTAGAACTCGCAATTGGGTTCTTCACTGTTCCTGCGTTCCTGCTTCTATCGGTCCTGACTCCCTTAGCTCCCTACAATACTTACATCCATATGTAAACCCTATCAATCCTAAATCCATAAAACCTTGTAAGGCCTACATCTTTTAACCGATAAGTCGTAGATCCCTAAATCGTAGAAGCCATCAATCTCCAATTCCTATGAGGCCGGAATCCTCGAGCCCTAGTCCTTAAATCCTTAAGCCCCGTGAATTTTGAGGCCCTAAGCCCCTTAACCCCCAAATCCTAAAACCCTAAACCCCCCTAAAACCCTAAAACCCTAAACCCCTAAATCCCGGACCTTCTGAGGCCATCCAAAACTTCCGAGCTGATGCCTCGGTCCAGGTGATGTTGCTGACCACCAAAGCAGGGGGCGTGGGTTTGAACCTAGCCAGGCAGAGCACACTGCTTAAGGGTTAAGGATGGGGGGTTTAGGCTTTTGAGACCAGATGCAAAAAGGGTTTAGGGTTTAGGGTTTGAAGCTAGGCAAGCAGCAAAGGGTTTGAGGTTGGGTTCTAGGGGATATATAGGTTTGAGGGTTTCAGGGTTGAGGGTTTTGGGTAACGCTTTGAGGGTTTAGGCTTTCAGGGCTTCTGGGTTTAGGGTTGAAGGCCCGGAGTGCAATTCAGATAAAATGCTCAGCTATAGTGATAGCCGGAGTCAGCATGCATACAATATTGGAAATACTATGGTTGCCACAAGCCTTGTCAGCTGGAGAATGATTAGCGATGTGTGCGCTAGCAGGCTGTACCTGATTACTGTCAGTATTGCGCTTGACACCCTCTTTTCTGGTGAAATGAGCATCGTCACGACTTTCGCCATTGTCTTTTTTTAGTTGCATTCGCTGTGTTTTAGATGTTGTCATTGTGACGTGTTGGCTTCATCAGCACTACTGACATTCCAATTCGTTTTTGTTTGTTATTATCGTATGATCGGCATTGCTGCCAAGGCCAGTGATTTGTATTCGCTTTGGTTCGAAGCCAGCATAGATGGCAGCGTGTCCCACTCAAGCGTAAGCGTACTGGAAGTTCTCGCTCACGTGGCTTTGCATGGTTCTATCCCTTGAGGTCCTGTGCAGATTGATGCAGGCTAGCTTGTGCGCATGCCTGTCTGCTAGATTCTTTACTATTTGAGCTATATCGCAACTCCTTAAAGGTGCTTATAGGGGATTATTTGGGCGAGCATTCTGGGGCGATTAAGGGGGATACTAGGAGTTTAGACTAGCTCATTTGGTAATTGATCAGGAACCTCCAGGTGGCAGACACCGTCATTATGTTCGACAGCGATTGGAACCCGCAGTTGGAACCTGGGCAGGTGGTCTATACAACCATAGTGGCAACAGCGCGTAGGTTTAGGGTTTAGGGCAGTAGGGATCATGGTTACTACTGTTGTTTCATCAACATCGCTACCATATTTGTCATCTGCTGGTTACGTCTTACTAGTCAGGAGGGTTATACGGCAGTCCCTGTATCATCTCGCATACATATATATATGTATAAACAAATCTAATGCATCCTAGAACCAGATTCGAATGTGATAGGCTCCACATGAATGTGGGCTGTTTGCTGGTGACCCAAATGCTGAGGACCAGAAATACCAGTCCTAGAAATCATATTTATTTTTTTATCGTTCCAGGTATTATAGCAGCGACAAAAGCATGATTATAGAAGTAGTCTCCTGAGTTTCCTGAATTTGCCGGGGCAACCCCGATCTTGATGTGGTCACGTGGGCATTTCCAGAAAGAGTGTCCCCTTGTTTCCAGCAAAAACATTATACACACATACATGCGTATGCATATCTATGTGGACATATATATATATGTATATATATATATGGTAGTGAGTGTCCCAAAATAGGGAACCCCAACATAGGCCCCAATATACTATAGTCCTTCTTCTGAGGACCCCCAAAACGGTACCCCTAATTTAGGGGTATCCGCATATATACACATATATAGATATATGTCACCTGGTATGCAGCAGAGGCTACCTACCCAACATTGAACCTCCAACTCATGAAGATCCTACATGCTAGCAATGCAGCGCTTCATGGTTCGGCGGGTTTGCGGCTTGAGGGTTTAAGGTTTAGGGCTTAAGGGTTTAGGGTTGAGGGTCTGCTTGTCATGGCCTTCCTTCTCATTGACGCACCTCTTTCCAGCAATGGGTAATTCCATGCACAAATGCCTGCCAACCTAAACCCCATTTTTCGCAACTCCTATCTGAGGACCTCCAGGCTTGTGACCGCGCTTATCGCATCGGCCAGACACGGCCGGTCTTGGCTCCTTGGCAAAAGTTTTCAAACTGGGTGGTCTTTCGGGAGCTCTGGAGCGCGAGTCTGCAGGGTGAGTGCAGCTACATTCCGGCAAGTCCGGATTGGAAAGGGTTTAAGGGAGCAACTCCTGATTAATTAGAGGAGTAGAGTAGAATACGGGGTTTGCATGTTGCGTTCCTCTGTCATGGGCACGCATAACGGAGACATGAGTTTGGGTGTACTGATGGAGTGCGCAGCCCTTCTAGTTGCAGGCCTGCACGTATGCTCTTGCAATTGCTGTGCAAGTTGCCTAGATGAGCCATGTTATGTTATGAACGCCCTGAGACTAGTAGGCACCGTATAGCTGTGGCGGAAAATACTTCAACAGCTTCGCGCGCGTTTTTCAATGTTCCCCACATAGCTCCTATAGCGACCGTTGTAGTATTCCAGAATGCACTTAGGACCCCTAAACCCTGAATTTCTGTATCATCCCAGTTTCAAATTCAATTTCAGATTTTCCAGTTGTCCAACCGATTTTCCGGTAGCCTCCTACACAACAGATGGCAGGCTGTTCGCTTGATGACTCCCACCGCTTTCGACCGCGGACTCCTAGAGCGGACTTGCAAGAAGTTGGACATGGAGAAGAAGGTACGGTGTCAGGTAAGGGGATGATAGACTTAGCAGATGACTGCGGAGTATCCACTCATGCTTGAAGGGCTCATGAAGATCCTTGTAGGAAGTGTAGGATGGGAAAGAGAGCCTGGTTGGTACTGGTTTGTGGCATCGACAGCTAGATCACCTTCGACGAACACACCTAGCAGCTTGGTATAGCTTGGTGTTCATAAGCCTCGGTGTACAAACGGGACCGGTGGTTCAAGCTAGCAAAAAATCTCTAATAGCGCTTCCCTACTTGTTGGTCATAAGCCCCTTGACTGCTTTGCATCGCGAATCTTGCCGATGGCAGCGGTCGAAAAGCCAACAAAGATGTCTTGGAATCAAGCGTTGCCTCCTCAACCGATGTCCGGCATTCGTGTTGTACACCGTGAGCCCCATAGAGACAGTATAGTGTTTTTTTGCACCGTGCTCCCGAATATCCAGCGGGAGAGCATTTTTTGAGCACAACGTGAACCCATGAGTTCTTCTACACAAGTTCGATCACCAGTAGGCTGGACAACCCTGCTTGGGTAATTCTTTGCAGGTCATCCGAGCTGGTCACTTTTCCGATACGACCACAGAGATGTCGAAGACGTTGCTTATGAAGCTGGTCAAAGAGGCGCCTGACAAAGGGAAAGGGGCCACCTTGATATTGTAGATGATGCATCATGGTGAGAAACAAAATTCTTCGCAAATGTACTGAAGGCATATGCAAATACACAACCATACAGCCTTGCCACTGACAGCAGCAGCAGCAGTCGCCGCCGCAGGCGCAGATGCAGCAGCAGCAGCAGCTACAATAGCAAACACAGCGACAGCAAGATCTGCAGCAGCACTGGTGCTGGTGCTGGTAGCTGGTGCTGGTAGCTGCTGCTGGTGCTGGTGCTGCTGGTCCTGCTGCTGGCTGCTGGCTGCTGGCTGCTGGCTGCTGGTGCTGCTGCTGCTGCTGCTGCTGCTGCTGCTGCTGCTATTGCTGCTATTGCTGCTATTGCTGCTATTGCTGCTATTGCTGCTATTGCTGCTATTGCTGCTATTGCTGCTATGGCTGCTATGGCTGCTATTGCTGCTATTGCTGCTATTGCTGCTATTGCTGCTATTGCTGCTATTGCTGCTATTGCTGCTATTGCTGCTGCTGCCGCCGCTGCTGCCGCTGC